GTAACATGGAAAAAAGACTGATCCTGAACTCTGCTGATCTTTATTCTACTTTGGATTCTACTTCTGACAGCAGTGTAACTAGATTCAAGTCCCTTCGCTTCTCTGAATTTACATTTCTTTATAAGATGAAGTCATTGAACTCTAAAATCTTAACTTGAATATACTTAAAGGGTGCCATTATATTGATGTCATGCTTAAAAACTAGAATTTGAAAAATTTCATTGGGATTTGTTTTTTTCTGGATTTGATTTATTTTCTCATATTTCAAGATTGGGAAAAATTTGTTTGGATCTTCAAGTATAATAAAAGCTTCTTATATGGCTAGACTTTCTCACACTGAAGTCCATCCTTCATAGGGAAACAGAGTCATTTTCCTGTGGGCAGTTCTGGGCATGTCACCCCACATTCTTTCCTCCATACACACATAATAAACATTAAAATCTTCAATGCTATGGTAAGACCCTCTCAATCTCACCAGCTCACCTTTCTAACCCTTGCCTTTCACTACATACCTCTACCCTACCTGCTTGCAAATGCATTGCTCTACTTATTTCCCTGGAGATGCTCTGTACTTGGCTGCTTTTCTCATGCAGTGTTCATTCTGTTCCCTCCTCCTAATTTTCCTCTTACCACAACCACCCATTCATCTTTATTTTCATTTGTTAAATCCTACTTTACTATCTAAAATGATCACCTAGTACTTCCTCTCTGAAGCTTTCAGTATCTTCAATGCCTCCTTGCTCCCATTGCTTTCTCTCCTACATGGGTGTGCATGTCAGCTTCCCCTACATAGGATGAACTGCTTGAAAGCAAGGACCATGTAATACATCTCTATATCCCTCATAAACATCAAGTAGGAGCTGCTTGGGAGGTATTTGTTCAATTGAGAGTCTTTTAGGAGTGGGAGAAGAAAAACATTTATACACACATGATTAAGGCATGTTTTGTTTTGTTCCTACCTTGAGAATAATTATATTGGGTCAATAACACTTCTCGTTTCATGAGATTCTTTACCATGTTAAATGCTGAACTTCATTTTTAAAAGATCATGTGTATTTAAACACATCATTATTATAATTTTATGTATCATCTTCATCAGTTTAATAGCTATTCTACAAAATCTAGAATTTGATAGTTTTAAATAATTTAAAATTTGATTCATAGACAAATAATAAATATGTGATATGTTCACATTATTCTTCATTTTAGAGCATGTATGGAAATTATATTACTATTTGGCCTTCATGATGCTATACACATGCAAATTTTACCCACTCAAGTGTTTTATTATTTCTGAGTTTTGAGGAATACATGATTATTTTTCTCTCCCCATACTTTACCCCCAACAGGCTGCTGTGATTTGTCAACAGCAGCAGGAGCCACTTGAAGGTTTGATAAAAGCAGATGAAGATGCTTAAAGATGTCTGTTTGCTGAAAATATCTGGTAACAAACAGGAATATATGTGAGTAAATATAGTGTGTTATTCTGATTTTTTAAAATAAATGTTTTAAAGTGCCTAATTGCCTGTTATCAAGGGTTTTGTTTTGTCCTGGTATGGTTTTGAGTTAAATTGCTAATAACAAATTTAGAGATTATTTTTAAAAATCTTA